AATGCCAGGAATTGTCAGAGGTAATAATTTTTTTTTATTTTTATGGGTGCTAGCTGAAATACCTAGGATCTAGCTCATTCTGATCACTGAAATTATTTGGAATTTTTACTTTGTTTCTACTTTTAAAATATTATTTAATAATTTACATTTCATTTGTACATGCTTTAAATAAAGGTGATTCCTGCAATGTGCAGTTAAAATAAAGGTATATGTTTATGATTTTGTGTTTAACTCCAGTTTCAATTAGTTTGGATTTTGTTTGTGAAATGAAAAAGTAATGTTACCCTGTCTAAGCAAAGGAGAACATTACACATTCAAGTTAAGGCTTTTGTTTTAAATATTTATAATTATTTTAGAAGATAAAAACATTACTCTGAAATGAAGTTTATCATCAAAACTATTCTCATAAATTTCAAAAGTTACTGATATATCTCTATACATAAGTACAGTTAAATCTAGTTGTAAATCGAAAATTTATTATTATTATAAAAACATTAAAACTCTTGTTGTTATTATATTTGATATTTCATTGAAAAATGAAGCAAAATGTTAAATAGTAGCTTGAAAAGTCATATGTCCAGAGAGAATGGTTGATGTTCAAAGTTGACCTTGAAATCTTTTGTCTTTAATTAGAAGAACTGTAAAGCTTAGTTCACACTGAGTGCGATTCGCTGGCAAAAGCGAAAAACAGAGCGAATAACCGGTCAAACCTGACTCATTTGATGGATTATTTGCTCTGCTTTTCGCTTTTGCCAGCGAATCGCTCTCACTGTGAACTAAGCTTTAAGCAACTTCTGTTACATCTAAGAAACAGTAAGCCCTATATTACAGTGAAATTTAACTGAATTTCTGCAAAGCCTCTCATATTGCAATCAAAAGTAAGTAAAAATACAAGGCCACCAAATGAACTCATGTTTAGAGTAAATTTTCAGTCATCAGCACCAAAGTTTTAGGCATCCTGACAACTAGAATTTCAATACCCTTGGTTACATCAAGAAGTGTTGTATTCAATAGACAGAAAAGCAGCATCAAAAGAAACCAAGATGGACAATATTTCTACAAGAAAAACAATAGATATTTCAAGAGACTGAATAATTTCAAGTACTGGTATTTCATATATATATATATATATATATATATATAGGGGTTAAAAAATGGATATTTTCTGGGTGTGCAGGAAATCCGTTGTTTATGATATAACAGACTCTCAGAACAATGGATGATTTTTGGCAGCCCGAGTGATCTGTTAAAATGAGATTCTTCTGTAATGAGCTTGTGTATCAAATAGATCCAAATACATATATATATTTTCATTACTATCAAAACATTTATAATGCACTTCATTAATCCAAACCAGTGCTGTTCATTTTTCCAAATAATTTATGACTAAAAATTAGTGGAAGTTATAGATTAATTTTTAAAAGTATGTTGAATTTGTCTGTAGTCTTTTTTAACTTTCTTTTCTTTATATACAATCCCATTAAGCCAAATAACTCTTACAACAACTAGTCTGGATTATCCAGTGTGCACTGTATTATTGAATAAGTTAAAAAGTGTCATTTGTGATTGAGTACTTGCAATGTGGTAAAGTAAAATGAAGAAATTTGCCACAAAAAACTTTTTACTTAAAGATTTTTCATTGTTCCTTCATGTATTGATTTTTAACACATACAGTAAAATTTGCTGAATGGGGGAAAATTCTTTGAAACAGAATAATTTTCTTTGTTAAAAAAACCTGTTCAAAATGAAAACCTACCAAATCAGAATAATATTTTAAACATGATAGTCCTGTTTACACAGGTTTTACTGTATATAGCTATTTCTTTGGAAGAAAATGCTTCAATTACAAAATAACCTTAACATTTTTTTCTATAATTTCAGATACAATTTCTGTATGTACTCATTTTGTAAATACCTTTTGTAAGAAATAAATATTTCTATTGGAATTTATTATGATTGCTCTGAGATTTCAGCTTCCACATTTCAGGCAGCTTGCATGGTGAGAAAGTCTGTAAACAGTGAGTCCATATGGTTGATAAAAAAGGTCGGCTTGTCATGTACACAGTTGTCAGCATTACCTTTGACTTCTTTGGCACTGGAGATGACTTGTGCTTAAATTGGATGCTCTGTCTTTTGCTTTCCAGTTGGTAATAAAATCACCACATTTCATCTTTACATTTCATCATAATGGTTCTGTCCAGAAAACTATACCCTTCTTTTTCATATCAAAGAAAAGGTTCCAAGGAAAGGCTCATGCAAGTGTCTTTCTGCACAGCATCCAAATTGTTGGTATCCACTGTATGCAAATTTTCTGGTAGTGCAAGCAATCTCATAAAATGGTATATACACTTCCAACACAGAGTACAACTTTTTCATCAATTGTTTCCAATGTTAATATGCTATCTACCCAAATGAGTTTGTCCACTTCCACTATGGAAACATAAGTAATCACACACATTGCTTGGCCTGACCTCAGATCATCATGCAAGAATGAATGTCCCTATCATAACTGCTTACTCCATTCTTTAACATGTACAGAAACTGCATATTTTTGTCACATGTTATTTACAGTATATGATGATGAATTTCTGTACTCCCAACACCTGCAGTTAAAATAAATTAATTAACTGCTCACTGCTCATTTTTAGCCCCTTCCATGATTGCTATTTGATGAAAAACTATCACAATATCCTGATAGAAGGTAAATTGTCACTCTTGGCATGTGAACTCAGTGCCACCTGTCTCTGCATAATCACACTACAGTGCAACTACCTATGTTTTCTGCCAAAAATGTCACAATTTAAAAATTCCATCATTTCCTATTACCTTTGGCTTGTAGTAGTAGTAGTGTCACTATTTCATAAGAATTTTGAGATAAATTTTAATTTTAGGAAAAATCTAACAGGAAAAAAAACCAATTCAAAGAAGAATTTTGAAATTGCAATTCTTGCAAATTGGCAAAGTCACTGTCACCAACAGTAACTTTGCCAGTTTGATAAATGCCAGGAATTGTCAGAGGTAATAATTTTTTTTTATTTTTATGGGTGCTAGCTGAAATACCTAGGATCTAGCTCATTCTGATCACTGAAATTATTTGGAATTTTTACTTTGTTTCTACTTTTAAAATATTATTTAATAATTTACATTTCATTTGTACATGCTTTAAATAAAGGTGATTCCTGCAATGTGCAGTTAAAATAAAGGTATATGTTTATGATTTTGTGTTTAACTCCAGTTTCAATTAGTTTGAATTTTGTTTGTGAAATGAAAAAGTAATGTTACCCTGTCTAAGCAAAGGAGAACATTACACATTCAAGTTAAGGCTTTTGTTTTAAATATTTATAATTATTTTAGAAGATAAAAACATTACTCTGAAATGAAGTTTATCATCAAAACTATTCTCATAAATTTCAAAAGTTACTGATATATCTCTATACATAAGTACAGTTAAATCTAGTTGTAAATCGAAAATTTATTATTATTATAAAAACATTAAAACTCTTGTTGTTATTATATTTGATATTTCATTGAAAAATGAAGCAAAATGTTAAATAGTAGCTTGAAAAGTCATATGTCCAGAGAGAATGGTTGATGTTCAAAGTTGACCTTGAAATCTTTTGTCTTTAATTAGAAGAACTGTAAAGCTTAGTTCACACTGAGTGCGATTCGCTGGCAAAAGCGAAAAACAGAGCGAATAACCGGTCAAACCTGACTCATTTGATGGATTATTTGCTCTGCTTTTCGCTTTTGCCAGCGAATCGCTCTCACTGTGAACTAAGCTTTAAGCAACTTCTGTTACATCTAAGAAACAGTAAGCCCTATATTACAGTGAAATTTAACTGAATTTCTGCAAAGCCTCTCATATTGCAATCAAAAGTAAGTAAAAATACAAGGCCACCAAATGAACTCATGTTTAGAGTAAATTTTCAGTCATCAGCACCAAAGTTTTAGGCATCCTGACAACTAGAATTTCAATACCCTTGGTTACATCAAGAAGTGTTGTATTCAATAGACAGAAAAGCAGCATCAAAAGAAACCAAGATGGACAATATTTCTACAAGAAAAACAATAGATATTTCAAGAGACTGAATAATTTCAAGTACTGGTATTTCATATATATATATATATATATAGGGGTTAAAAAATGGATATTTTCTGGGTGTGCAGGAAATCCGTTGTTTATGATATAACAGACTCTCAGAACAATGGATGATTTTTGGCAGCCCGAGTGATCTGTTAAAATGAGATTCTTCTGTAATGAGCTTGTGTATCAAATAGATCCAAATACATATATATATTTTCATTACTATCAAAACATTTATAATGCACTTCATTAATCCAAACCAGTGCTGTTCATTTTTCCAAATAATTTATGACTAAAAATTAGTGGAAGTTATAGATTAATTTTTAAAAGTATGTTGAATTTGTCTGTAGTCTTTTTTAACTTTCTTTTCTTTATATACAATCCCATTAAGCCAAATAACTCTTACAACAACTAGTCTGGATTATCCAGTGTGCACTGTATTATTGAATAAGTTAAAAAGTGTCATTTGTGATTGAGTACTTGCAATGTGGTAAAGTAAAATGAAGAAATTTGCCACAAAAAACTTTTTACTTAAAGATTTTTCATTGTTCCTTCATGTATTGATTTTTAACACATACAGTAAAATTTGCTGAATGGGGGAAAATTCTTTGAAACATAATAATTTTCTTTGTTAAAAAAACCTGTTCAAAATGAAAACCTACCAAATCAGAATAATATTTTAAACATGATAGTCCTGTTTACACAGGTTTTACTGTATATAGCTATTTCTTTGGAAGAAAATGCTTCAATTACAAAATAACCTTAACATTTTTTTCTATAATTTCAGATACAATTTCTGTATGTACTCATTTTGTAAATACCTTTTGTAAGAAATAAATATTTCTATTGGAATTTATTACTTAATCATAAAATTTTATATATTCTAACAATTAGTTTAAAAAAATGAAAACTTTACTTGTTTTTCTGAAAGTCCTTCTTCTTTCATAAATTCTTCTAGTTTATCATGTCTGTAAAAAACAAAATTAAATTCTTTTTTCTTTAAATGTTAAATAAAATTAAATTCTACTAATTTATTACAATATAGTTATGAATAATTTTATTATTATTTGTCACAACTATACTAAATTTTAATCATCATCAAATCTTTCCCCCCTGCTGAAAACTGTTTTCATTAGTACCTTAAATTCAAAACAATATAGTTCAATGGTTAGAATTTCTCTAGAATTGGGAAAGCATTTTCCATGAAACACATAGGAAAATTTAAATTGAAACTTTTGTAAGAGTTGTTCATCTATGAAATTTGACAACAATTTAAACAATTTATTTTGACTAAAAAGAGTATTACATTAGAAATATTTCTGAAAGTGCAAACTCCAATATTTTAGTCTGTTGCATTTTGATTTTATTGATAATTACTAATTGTAATTATTTTTATATATCTAAAAATAAATATAAAAATACAGGGTGAGTCAAAATTATGTGAACACTATTTGAGAGAAAGCATTTACTCAAAGTTTGCATTATACAGAGTCTCAACCTGACCACCAGCACAATTAATGCACTCAAACAGTACAATTTAGTGCCAGAACACCGGAGATTGGGAAGGTCATAACAACGGTCTGTCGCGACCAATTGGAACAGAAAACGAAAAAAAATTAAGATGTTTCATTAATAATGTTTAATTAAAAATTAAGATTGTTCACATAATTTTGACACCCTGTATATTTAACAAAATATACTTAAAAGCATATTTTGAGGTTATAATTCTGATTATGATAACTCACTCCTCCATATTTTATAATTGGTATAACAGTCTCAATACAGATTAAAATATTTTTCCAAACACACAACAATTTATTAAAGTTAATATATTATTTACAAAGAATTAAAATTAAACCCTCTAGCTAACATTACTAGCAAGATATTTATTTAAATAAAAATACATCATTAGGCTTTCTAATAACTTTAATAAATTGAATAAAGTTATCAAGAAATAGTAATATGATTACCTATAATGTAAAATCATTCTAATTCAGCAAGTTATTAATATTTAGATGTAGCAACAGTTGTGTTTAGCAACAGTTAGCATTAAATTTAAATAAATTGTAAATATTGTTATAATACAATATTTACAGAATAAAATTTCACGTGATACATTGAATCTATCAACAAATCATAGCATTATTTTGGAAATTTTTCATGAAGTTGCTTCTCCATCCTCAGTAAAATCATACATTAAATAAAATTTTCTTACAAAAACTAACTAGTCATTAAACATGAATATTTAACAAATTCAATTATAAATATTCTCTACTTAATCAAACTTCATTTTAACATTTTAAATATGAATAAATGAAAAATAATTATTATACAATGAATGCAACTTTAAATATTTAATATTTTTTATATTCAGTTGTCAACAGCTAATCATCAATGGTTGAATATTCATCTAGCAGCAGTGGAAACATTAGGCAATATATACTACTACAGGAAAAAAGTTTGGAATCATGCAAGGCTGTTGAAATAAGAATGAAAACTTTTGCTTACCTACTTAAAGTAAGCAAAACCTATGCAAATTAAGTATTGCATATCTAATGCAAAACTACTTAAATACCCAAAGCTGCTTTATGTGCCTTAACTGCCATCAGTAGTACCTGATATTGGCACTTGAAATGGCTCCAAGAGCTGAACTGTCTGATAATGTAAAACATCTCATCAATGTGTTGTTAAAGAACAGATATTCTCAACATTGTGTTGCCCAGACAAAGTGGTATTCAATTTGATGAACTATATGAAAGAACTATACAACAATAAAAACTATAAAACTTGATCCAGAAGTGAGTGCCCATGGCTAACCTCTGGACACCAAGATAGGACTTTATGCTAAATTTGCAGCAGTGGCTACAAGCAACCTCAAAACAACTGAATGCTGCTTGGTACAGGATCATTGGAAGACATGTCTCCAACAGAACAGTTAAGAAATTGCATCCATTTCATGAATTATTTCTATAGGAAAATAAAGCCAAGGTTAATCAAAATTCACTGATGAAAATGACTGTTGTTCTCCTGAGGTGTTGAAAAGACAAAATACGAAGACATTGTTTCTTCAAGTTTGTGAATATTTTAAATTATTGTCCTGACTATTTTATATTATTCTATAAGTATCGAAAAATGATAAAAATCGTACATCTTTGCTATGATAGTTTCATTTTTACTGAATATGTATAGACTTTTTTCTTATTATATTGTATTGTTTATAAAATATTGATAGCTTTTTACACAGCATTTGCATCATCATATGTAATCTAGAAATGATTAAAATATACAGTACATAGGTTATATGCAAATACTGTCATTTTATATATGAGAATTGAATATCTTCTAACTTTATAATACGTGAGGATGCTAGAACCAATCTACCATGAATAGAAAAGATGACTGTAAGCATTTCTAAATACTTTGTGAAATGAAATATAAAAAATTTTGAATTCTTTCATTCAAGATATATATCTAATAATTTGACAAATTTATAGTTTAATCATGTTAATGGTTTTAATTTTTTGTTTTTATAGTTTATATTTCCAGTCTAAAAAATTAGATTCTAATGTATTTATTCTTGTTGAATTATGTTATTACAGAACTAGTAACTCAGTCAAAAAATTTGAATTACACATTAGTTCGAAAGAATTTAAAAATATGTCAGTTTTCATGTGATCATTTAACTATTGGATTTTATAGTTTTAATTATTAGTATTTTGTCTATCAATGGTCTTGCAGTCTCAACTTTTTCAGGTTTGCACCTTCATTATTATAGTTATTTATTTAAATGCAATTATAATTAAATAAAGATAGCATGACTATTTACTTTTATATTTAGGCAATAAACAGAAATTTCAAACTGGCATGCAATGGTGCTTTTGCAATTTTCATTTTAAATAAAGAAAACTTTAAAATTAATTTTTATCATCTGTTTTCTGTTTCATCTATGATTTTAACATTTTAAATGATATTTCATGCATTGTAACATGTCACTTACAAAAGTAAAACTCAAACTTAAATAAGACATTTTACAATTTTCCTTTTTAGCTCTTTGGGACAGAAGCATTCTATAACATGTAATTCTTGCTCAAATTTTATATACATTTCTAGGAATGCATTAGGTCTGAAAGTAAAGGACTATCTATATTAAAGACAAAAATCAGAACATCTATGGTAATAAGTCAATTACTTTTAACAGAAATGTTTATAAAAGTGAAAAATTTTAATATACTTTTTGATTCTTTCCACTCTGAAGACATTAAGAGGGTCTTTTCCCTCCATGTCTGTTATAAGTTCAGCTAGATTCAGGCCAGATAAGAGATGGGACCCAATATATCTGGGACACATTATCTATAAAAAATTTCTCAGGTTGTCTGTCTGGATTCAATCTTCAATCCCCAGAGCAGTAGGCTATAAAGTCTAGCCTTAACTGCTTTGGCCACTAATTGATTTATTGAAAATTGTTGTTATTATAACTAAAATATTCAAATATCTTGAGAATACCAGCAACNTTTTTAAACGATAACTTACTAACTAAACTAACCTACCATAACCTAGGATGAATCTAACCAAACTAGGACTCTTTATATAGAAAACAATTTTTTTGGACCTTGCTATTCTTTATGTATATAGTAAACAATTTAGCTTAGTCCCTTAAGGATTTACTATATTGAGAACACACTATGACTATGACATTTTAATCTTATAAATCTGTAATCATAGTCTAGCCTATTATTGAAATAAACTGTCCTGATAATTGCCTGAAATCTTATTTCCATTTCTTTCCATGTAAAAGAAATTAATTTCTAAGAATTTGAACTTCTTTAAAACAAAATATTTAACTGGCAAATTATTATCTATTATTTACTAATTGTATATATTAGTGTTTTTCAACCTTCTTGAATATGCAACCCTTTGCAAGTTAAAAACTTCTGGCGACCCCCCAGGGCCATATTAAAACTATATCAGTGATTTTAAAAACTACATATTTAATTTTCTTTCTGTTGAGACCTAAATATCAATCGAAAAACCAATTATACTGTAAAATAAACAGGTATAGCCTTCTCACTGAAATTGTAGTTTTCTTTTTTTCATTGTAGTGTAGGACCTACAAACACTTGTCTTTTTCTTTTACCCGTGACCCCCCTGTAAGGCTTTGCAACCCCTCTGGGGGTCGCAACCCACAGGTTGAAAAACACTGGTGTATATATATGTATATATATATATCAATAAAATCACCTAAAACTGATAAATGACAGTGAAGTTGGATTAATATTAAAAACCTCATTTTTTAATCACTATTTTACATGCACACTTTATTGATTTTATGTTTGCCAGAGTTATTTTTCCTCATAAAAAATTACCTAGACTAAAATCATATGATTAAGAATCAACTAAACCTAGAATAAAACATTAATATTTTAGAAATACAGACAAATGAAGTTTCATCAACATAATAAAAGCAAAGAATAAAAAATAAAGTTTTAAAATTAAAAATAAATTCTAAAGACATAATATTAATCTGTTAAATATATGCAAATACCAATTCTTACAGTGTTTCTTTAAATATGCAAGTCAGTATTATACAAATGAGTTAAAGGTCAAGGAATTGGTAATAAGAATGAACTTCATGCTATTCATTTTTGTTACTTATCCTTTAACCTTTACAAAACATTGTTTCTTTTTACTCTGCTAGGTGTACCTCACTATACTTGTCACGGATAACACCTATCTCTTTCATACAAAAATAACTAAGTTACCAGTAGAGACAAATGAATCTATCAGAAGAATTATCAGATATTTTGTAAACAGAGCATAATCACAAGGATGCCTACAGTATTAACAAAACAAATTTTAAAAACCCATAATTTCAAAATATTAGTGATTTCATTTGTAGTTCTTCTGAATATTTTAACAACTATTCATTTATTTGTAAGAGAACCACCTCTATCAGTGTTAAATTCTACCACTTCCTCTACTTATTTACAGAACAGACATTGTGTTTTTACTTTATTATCCATCTCCACAGAAATTTATTAAATGCCAATAGTTAAAACAGTTCAAAAAAATTCCACTCAACTTTAATACCAACAGATTTTAAAAGAGAAACATAAGAAAATTACAATATAGTTTGATGAAACCAATTTATATTGCTATATGGAACTAAAAAATATATAATGCTAACAAATTATATTTAAAAAAAACAAATATTAATATTGAGAAATAAATTTTCAGATATTGTATGCAGTTATTGTTGTAATAGAATATATACCACTGAGAATAAAATTATGCTACGTATACGGCAATTATTTTGAATCATGAAAATACAATACAGTCAATCCAGTACAAAACAGTCAAAGGTATAGCAATATTTACCAGAACAAGGAAAAATATTTTAATATTTTTATAATGAGAGTTTTTTAAAAGGTATCCCAATCCTTATTTAATTAACTTTATCAGACTATAAATATAGTAATTACTACAAAGTTAGGCAATGTTACAACAGGGAAACAGAGGATTATTAATCTCCTGTAGTAAAAGATTTAAATGATTTTATTGCAAATTTCTATACTATATGTTAAATATCAAAATCTAAAATTAGTCAGAATTTAAATCTTTCTAGACAAACATTAACTAAAACTAAACTAATTCTAAAACATAATTTATTTTCTTAAGGAGAATGCTTTTTGTAATTATTTGAATAAGTATAATTTGCAACACTAATACACCCCTGTACACTTTGTAAGAGAACATTATTATGTTAAATGAGTTTAGCATAACAAAGTTCCCCAGATATTATATACGGATATCCTAGTGTTACTAATTACATTAATTCTAAAAGTAAATGTGGCTTTGTTATAACTGAGAAGCTCTATGGATTAAGGTATCTAAGTATACTTAAATACTTTTTTTAGCTAAGTGTTTTATTATGAATAGTGAATAGGGTTTTATAATACAGATATTCTCCTTGCTATAATAAGCACTTTACTCAAGCATATTTAATATTTACACTACTCACTCCAAAAGAAATCTCAGACATATGAACATTCTTTGAGAATTCCTAAAAATATAATTTAACTTAAATATCTTTTTCCATAGACCTCCTCAATTAATATTACCTAATAAGATCATATTCTGGCAGATTTTGGGTTTTAACTAGAATACAGGTTTACTGTAGTTTACAATTTCTTGAAAAAACCAGAAATGATAGATCCAAGCCCAAATAGTGCTAAAACAAAAAATAAAAAATAAATTGTTCTAGAAAATGTTAAAACTGGTTTCCTTCATTGTTTAGTGTTAAATGTTATCAAACAACTTTTGTTCAAAAGCTAGTGTTTCAGCTAAACAAAGCAAAAAATGATAATTCTAAATACTAAACAAAAAATATAAATGCTAATATATTGAAAAAGGCTAAATCTGGAAACCTGCTCTCATTTGTATTGATATCGCACTGTATTAAGATAGTGCCACATTTTGATTCTAGAAACAAATAATAAATTAGTTAAAATTTAATTTACTGCATTATAAACATAGTGAAAGGAAAATACTGTGAATTTTAAGTTCATTAAAAAAATCATATATCACTAAACACAAATTTATCACAAAAGAGAATATCATTCAATCACAAGTTTTACCTTAAGCTAATATGAATTGCATAGAACACTATTTCTTATTATACAGGGATTTATAATTGTATTTATAATTTTTGTACCTAGATTTGACTGTATATATAAACTAAAATGCAACTAAGAAAATTATATATTAAGGACACTATTTATGTGGACCATACATTAAAAGATACATTTATTCTTCCTAACTTCCAGCTAGGGTTAACTTTCACCTATCTCTTTCATACAAAAGTAATTGTAAGTTACAAATAAATCTGTCAGAAGAATTACTGGATATTTTGTAACAGAGCATAATCACAAGCAACTACAGTATTAACAAACTGAATTTTAAAAATCCATAATCTGAAAATATTCTTGATTTCATTTATAGTTCTTCTGAATATTTTAACAACTCTAACCATTTATTTAAAAGAGAACCACCTCTGTCAGTGTTAAAATTTCTTATCATTATGCAATACAAAATCAGAACTTTTGGACTATAAGGTCCTAAATTTATTATAGTTTTATATAATTTAAGTTTACACAACTGGTGAGTCTGATAAAGTAATTTCATTAAATAATTGGATATTTAATCATGTATTCCTTTGATGTCTTCTTCCTCTGTTTCCATTGGATCATCTTCATGACCAGTTCTACAGGTCCCAAGTCCCAGCTGATTTTGATTTTATCACATGATCAAACTGTACAATCTTTTACTTTAAACCGTGTATTAAATGTGTAAACTGTAACTATATAAATGTGTATAAAGTGGCATTAACATGAATTATGTATTAATGACGACAAAAATGTTAATGTCGATAATTACGTCATTAATGTGAAGTGGTAAACAAAATCAAGTAAACAAAATGGCAGATATTTTCACTACAAACTAAATCAAATTACATTATAATAATGTTTATAAATGAATGAAATTAGAACAAACCTGGTCTTTCTTTCAACATGTTGATTAATAAGATTGGAATAGAAGTTTTCCAGATGAACTTTAGCTTTTGTGGCTTTATCGATGGTATGTCCGCTAAAACGTATTTCTCCGCCGCCTGTCGTTGACATCTTCTCTTTACTTTTTCTATTCTATAATCAATAAACATTTAATTCTTAATTTTAATCGAAACTTTCTTCTTTGTCTAACCATTTAAATTCCATCTTTCTCATTTCCTCCTCTCGTTTGTTAATGCGCATGCGTAACGACAATTCGGTGAATGACCGTTTGAGGTCGCCTTTTAGTTTTGGGTGTGTTTATCGTTTGGTGCTCTACGCTTCCATTCGTAAAGTTACGGATCGTTAACATGGAATTTTTTTTACAAAAATAAATGAATAGTGTCGTCGATTCATTAAAAAGTAAAATAAGACGTCTTAGAATTATATATTTGTCAATATAAAATTTAAAACCGAAAGTTTCAGAAAATTTCCAGTAGACCGGAAGTTATTATTTATTGTCTTAAATATAAAAATACTCGCCGGTCTTCATGTTTTTAAATAATAAAAATTAATTATTTAACGATTTCTGAGAAGTTTATTTATTAAAAACATTAAAAATATATTAATTTATCATTCAGAATTTAAATCTTTCTATACAAACATTAACTAAGACTAAACTAATTCTAAAACATAATTTATTTTCTTAAGGAGAATGCTTTTTGTAATTATTTGAATAAGTATAATTTGCAACACTAATACACCCCTGTACACTTTGTAAGAGAACATTATTATGTTAAATGAGTTTAGCATAACAAAGTTCCCCAGATATTATATACGGATATCCTAGTGTTACTANTCTGCCAGGCCCACAATGATGCGACCGAGTAGTAAGAGACACAGCCCGACATATCCTAGAGTTCACACGGATTTGATGCCGGATCCCCCAGAGCGGTAAGCCGCTACCTTAACTGCTTGGCCATCCGGCCAATAGAATGCGATTAAACAACATATTAAAGTTATATTTTCGCCCATTACGAAGGTTAACCCGCAATGTGGTCTACCAGTGTAGATTAAGAACAGGAAGCGACCCCCGAAACATATATATTATATAGGTAATTCATTCTGGTAATCCGGACCGGATTCTAATCCGGATTCCTCAAAGCGAAAAGCTGATATCACACAATTATAAAAATAAATGAATTATTTAAAGTAAATAATGAGTAAATGTATATTCACTGATTATTTACTTTAAGTAATTCATTTATTTTTAGTAATATATAATTGAAAATATTCATATCATATTATCAACTCATATATATATAGTAATTACATTATCTTTTCTGAATGTATTTCTGAAAATGTAATTTAAAATATAAATAATAAACAGTTTGTAATATTTTGTAATCCTCATTCTTTATTTATAGAATGAATGAAGAAAGAATTTTATAAACTTGATGCAAAATAAAGAATTAAGCTAATGAATTGAATGAAGACTAAAAAATGAAGAATGAAACGAATAGATTGGATGAATAATGAAGAAGAATGAAGCTCATAAACAGAATAAAATTTGATTTAAGGTTTCATTCTTTCATTCATTTATAGAATGAACGAAAAATTAAATAAAAAAAAATAGAGCTAATAAACTGAATGAATATTGAAAAATGAAACTCTTAAATCGAATAAATAAAGAATAAAAATGAAGAATAATTGAAAAGAAAGCAAAGCTCCTAAACTAAATGAAGAAGAATGACAAAGTGTAAAATAAAAATTGAATATTTAATTGAATATTATTGTAATAATAAATTAGATGAAGAATGAATAATCATGAAACTCATAAAAATAAATGATATTCATTTTATGGCTTTTTTCTTTATTGCTGCTCATAAAATAAAGTTGATAAAATGAAAATGAGCAATATTTTTAGTTAATGAACTTCAATATCAGTTTGAAATCTTTAATTTTCATTCATTCTATAAACAAGAACAAGGCATATAAACAAAGAACATCCAAATGAAGTGTACTAGACTACATACACGCCATTTCATTTATAGCGAAAAAGGCAATTTTGATTTTTTAATTGTCCGTTGATTTTTCTCACAAGAAAACATAATTTATATATAAATATATTATGTTTTTGAGGTAATATTCTACATTAATATTTAAAGCAAATTTAAAATGTATAGATTTAACCGTTAGTTATCAATAATGTCGCGTGTAGAGTAATTATTTTTTCCTGAATGGTTACGTGATATTTTTTAGATTGCGTGAGTTTAATTTCCTTATAAGATTAATATAAAATAAAAATATCTTTTGAGCTAAATAATTAATTGGATTTTCGTTTTAAGAAGACAAAAGAATGATATTTATGTAAATTGAGATGAATTTCGTCTGTTAGTTACTAAGAATGAACTTTGTTACTGGTATATATTTCTTCCAAGTATAATTCTAAAATAAGTAAAATCTTTAAATTATGTTTTTAAATTTATCTTATGATAATTACTTTTTCAAGTGAAAATAAATATCAGAAATATAGAAAAAAAAAATGGATTCGGATGAACTGAAGAGAAATGAAGAAGAATAAACAAGGAAGCTCATAAACCGAATGAAAAATGAAGGTATTTTATTCAGTTTGTGAGTTCATTCATTATTCTTGCCCGTAAACTGAAGCTGATAAACCGAAATAAATTTAACGTCAGCTTCATTCTATAAATAAGTGAGAGCATTTGAACTTTGAACATTCAAATTAAATATATTATTTGATTTTTTTAGATGAAAACAAAATTTATTAAATGCCCAACCATCTGTGTGTTGATAGAATACCATTTTGAAGCCAAATCAAATCTAATGTCAATTAACTGAAGTGATGTTTGTTTAGATCTTATTTTCCATGGCAACGTTACGTTGTTATTGTAGAATTATCACATAAATTAGGCGTTTAATCTCTTGAAATAAGGTCTCATTAGCATCTCAATAAGTTTAGACAATTCTGTACACGGTACTTACTATACAAGAATCAACGAGACTTACAGAAAAAAATTAATGGCGTTGTCACTGGCTATAGAGCAGAATGATTTGATATGCTGGATGAATCGAGCTCTCCTTTATAATTCAAGGAAGTCCACCTATTAAAATGTATGAAAACTGGAACCCACCCTTTTTTCAGCAAGAACAAAAAAAAAATAGTATTTATTTCTGCTCAACTATATCTAGATAAACTTTACCAAATGTGAATTAAGAGTAAAATTTATGAGGATAATTAACAATATCCTTCTATTTGTTACAACTAATTTATAAGTTTTACACATAAATACGAGAAAAAATCAAGAAATTTAAATAGTAAAGTTTTGACAGTTTTATAAATAATCGCCTGGAGACGTGATACATTGAATTACCGTTTTCAAAAAAAAATGAAAGTTGTAATTCTTTTCAATAGATGCAACCTAAATTTAAATGAGATTTATATCAAGATTTGAAAGATTCTCTTCTCTTTTATGAAAAGGAAATCGAAGTAAAGTAATTTCGCTTTACTACATCCATAAGTAGGACGCGATAAAGTAATAGAATTAGGTCAACCACAATTCAAAACCAGACAATGCACTGTACAAACATTACTCGAGAACTTATCGATAGTATTTTAAAAAATTCTGTTTTTTTTTCTATTAATAAATTATAAATGAAAATCCTCTTAAACGTGACTAGTTCAACCATTTTTTGGATGTTCATTAATGAAAGATCTTCCACCGTTTATGTATAGTATATGCAGCGCGCTTAAGTGTGTTAATTTGCATAAACCAATAATCTTGGTTGACATTCACTTTTGCAACGTTTTAAATGGTGCCACCTTGTGCAATCGAATCGAAATTAAGTTTAATGAGTAAATATTTAAATTGTTTAAAAATATTACAAGTCAATGTCAAAACTCGTAAAGTGTGATGGACATTGCCAAAAAAGTAATACAATGAAGGCATTTTGAGATCATGTATTGATATTTAGACATCTCTTTCTATATAATTTATCAGATAATATTCCAATGTGAATATCTTTGAAGATCATCATCCAGATAAATTTCAAACAATTGTGACATATTTAAACTCGTTTAGTTGAACTGAGGCTGTAAGGTCACAACTCAAGCAAAACGAGTTTAAATGCGATCGGAATTTGTAATAAATAATTAATGAAACATTTACACAAGTTGTAATTTGAAATGTTCTACAATTTATAAAAGAAAACAAACTGTAAAACTGCATGAATCACTCTCTATGAATATCTTAATATAGAATCACCTCTGATTCAGTAGATAAATTTAATTTTAAACCGGGTGGACTTTGCCATATTGCTATTATTTTACATTCTATGTAGTAATACTATATGACGATAGTTATTGTTTAAAATTTATTCATAATTTTAAATATAACATGAATAAATATATTTGTTACTAAACATTTTTATGTTTTTTTCCTCTTTTTTAGGATTAATGTCCTAATTTTTCTGTACTTGTGTGAAAATACTGACAACTTAAATAGTTTCTTTTATCAATATATATCTTTTTCGGTGTGTGTGTTTTATACGGGAAACTTTGATAGTCACATCAATCATTGATTGCATCGTTGCCACTTCCTGTCTCATGCCGTGTGCATTAATTCAGGTAAGACAGCTTTCTTACCTGTTATACCACCTTCAACAAGCGGATACTTTATCAGAGAAGCATTTTTTTTCTATAAGTACTTTTTTGCACTAGTACAAACTTATAGCTATAGCTTACGTGTTAACGTGGAGTATTTAGGAATTATTTTCTATTTTAATGTATTCTAATAAATTAACTTTTATAGCAGTGCTTAAAACTAGTTCAAAGAACACACTATTGAGTGAACTACTTACATATATAAAAAGCAACTTACGATAGGAAAACGAATTTTAGAAAAAAATATGGTGAAGATTTGATTAACTTTCGCTTTCGGCATAACTTATGAGATTCGATAGTTGAAACTTTAGCTTCGACAGATTCTCACTCATTTATGTTGTTGCATAGTAAAGAACGAAGCTCTTGCATTAGTTTGTGTCCCAATTTTTCCCTTTCGACGCGACCTTCTTGCTATTAAAAATAAAATAAGAGAATAAACTTACCTTGAAATTACGAGAGAACATTATTAATCGTTCATTCTGTAAAATGCAACCTTGCAAATGAGATCTTAGCTTCGCTACCAACGCCACTTTATCACACCGTTTCTAACAGCAACATGATGTCAAGAATCACGTGTGTGCTTTACCAACCCTTGCTGCATCCTTTGTCATCACATATTCTCGTTTTGGGTTTATAGGTCAACAAATGAATGAAACATATTTAAAA